TAGTTTAGAGATGTCTATAAAGTCGATGAGCATCGGTGTTCAAAATTCCATATGGAGGCCCACGAGTGGGTAGGACAGAACACAAAAAGGGCATGAGATGATGTGTGCACCAGGAGGGGAGATGCCAGGGCTTTTTAGGAAGTACATGACAAGGATCTGGATTTCTTAGCGGGCTCACAGCTGTGATTTATTCATAGGAAGAAGGAAGGGAAATCTTTCCGCTTCCCCATTCTAAAACTCTCTGTTCCCTGACTTTAGTCATTCACAAACCTCCCAAGAAGGAGATGTATATCTCCACCCCCCATAGAGTATTCTGCGGCTTGTGTTATTGTTTGCTAAATATATTGTGGCACGCTGTTTACTTCACTCTGCAGCCTCAAGAGCTTCTCTGCTCTAGGAATTTCATAAATAAATCACTAGGTCAGGAAGTCTCCTTTCTCCCTCTCACACCCTCCCCTCTGTATTTGTACAGATCACTTAAACCTGCCATGAATGTTACTTCTAATTGCTCCCTTCTGATGGTATCGCTGTGTACTAGGCTTAATCCAGCAGAAGATCGATCATTCATACTCCGGAACACAAAGGAGCCTCATGATCTAATACCATAGTACAATCAGATTTAGATATTACCTGAATTTAAGTTTGTTTCCCTGGTAATGTAGACATCTAAACCTCCAGACCAGGTGTTCAAAGGAGTGGGTTTTCAGGGGCTCAGTACCACGGCGGGCCCAGATATTCAAAATTATCTCAGATCCCATTTAGGCACCTGAATGACAGTAGGATTTTCAAAAGTACCCAGCCCCAACTGCTCCCTTTGTGACTTAGGGTACGTCCAGACTGCCCACCGTATCGGCAGGTAGCGATCGATTTATCGGGGATCGATATGTCATGTCTCATTAAGACACGATATATTGATCCCCGAACGCGCTCCCTGTTGACTCCGGAACTCCACCGGAGCGAGCGGCGGTAGCGGAGTCGACGGGGGAGCTGCGGCCATTGATCCCGCGCCATGAGGATGGGAGGTAAGTTGGAATAAGATATGTCAACTTCAGCTACGGTATTTCCGTAGCTGAAGTTGCGTATCTTACATCGACACACCCCCCGCCCAGTGTAGACCAGGCCTTACGTGCATCCAACATACTAAACTCTTTTGAAAATCTGGCCATAAGTGATTGTTCTCAGGTCTCCCCATTAGTCTTTCTCAAGACTAAACATGTCCAGTTTTTTTAAATCTTTCCTTATAGATCAGGTTTTCTGACCTGGCTTTCAACACAGCCGTAAAGAGTGACTGAGTTTCTGCCAAGTTCAGGACAAGATGAACTACTATAATCTTTCTAGTATAGAAAGACCAGAACCAGAACTTCAAATCCCAAAATGCCCCTGAAACTCAGACATAAACATCATGATTAGGGTTTAGTACAATATCAAGCCAAAGAGGAATATCACCTCCTAACAGCTCTGAACTGGGATGAGGACGAAATCCAGGTCTGAATTTTGTATCTGAAGCCCTTCTATGTTAACTAGTCACTTTAAAGCTATCAGTGTAGAGGAGAAATAATAACCAGTTGGGGTTTATTTTGTGCAAAGTGCTGTTAAATTTGAATCACTGCAGGTTGTCTATAGAAAATATAAGTATTATACACACACACATCACACAATCCAGTCCAATTAATTGAAAATATGGTCTTGTTTAGCCCGATTTCATTATAGTGCAAGGTGCCAATATGTTATTGCTCTTATGAATGAGTTTTACTTCTAAATCAGCAGGTTGATCCACTGAATGTGTACAACTCCGGGCCTACGTGAGCGACAGTCGCACCTCCAGTTGTAACATAGGCTTTGTCTACACTACCAAGTTTTGTCAACAAAACTTAATGTTGACACCCGAAAGTCGACAAAACAAAAATCACCAAAGGGTGTTCACACTGGCTCCCTCTGTCGACAGATCATGTCCACATTGTGGGCATGTCGACAGTGTGAGCAATGCATTGTGGGTATGTATCCCACAGTGCAGTGTTGTGGGAAGGCAGAGCTGATCCCTGTGCATTTTGGGAGGATTCCCTCCAAGTTCTCCCACAGCCTTCTCAGTGCCAGGAGCAGCATCGTGAGTAGCTCTGGGAGCTCTCCGTGCTGAGGAACGTCAAAGCAGCCCAGCAGTCTCTCCTCCCACCCTCCCTATGACAGCAATCTGCTTGCCACTGTGTTCTTAGTGCAGGGCAGAACAAGAGCATTCCAGTGATTTTCTCTTTGTTCCCCAAACGGAGCAGCACCTTCAGCTGTCAGATACTTCCTGCAGCTTTGAAAGAGCAGAGCGATCAGGGCAGGCATTGTGGGATACTGGCAGAAGCCAATTCTGTCGACAAAACAAACAGCAGTGTCTACACTGGCTCTTTGTCGACAATAAAGGAAGGGGAAAAGAAAAAAAGTCTCTCGTGGGGTGGAGGTTTTTTGTGGCCGAAACCTGGCATTTTTCCTGAGAAAGGCGCATTGCAGTGTGTACGCTCGCACTGTTTTGTTGCCAAAAGGCAGTTTGGGGCCACAAAACTTGGTAGTGTAGACAAAGCCATAGACAAGAATAAGGCTGAAGTGTGTAGGCTCAGGGTAAGCAGGGAATAGAACAGGTAACTCTTGTGCTTTTTCTACAGCAACATGATCTATGAAAGGCTCCTTTGTTTGTTTGTTTGTTTGGCTCTATGTAAGGAAAATTTGCAAATGCAAATTTCTCTTTGACTGCTTCCATGAGCCTGTGGAGCTGACACTGGCTTTGAACTTAGTGGATTTGCTCTCTTTGGTTGGGAGGTTTACAAGGGTCGATGAAAACGCAGCAAGAACCAACATTCTTTAAAGTTAAAGCCTCCTCCCGCTTGTTTCCTTCTCTTTCTCACTGCCTTGGGCACCTCTGTGACCCTGTGCTCATCAAGCATGATCAAAACATTCCCAAGTTCATGGCCCCCCTGAGAGAATGTTCCCCGCCCACTACACACACACTGCCACCTGGTGGTTTGATAATCCATCAAAGCATGACAGCAACAAAGAGGACCAATGCAAATCTGGGGATTTCAGCCAAATGCCATTAATGCTGCATTTAAAAACTTGACATCTGACAGTACTCAAATATGTTCCACCTTCCCAAATTGGAGGTGCCCTGTTAGAGATGCATAAACTGCCAGGCTATAATGGATTGGGTACAGTGCCAGCTGTGCAGATGCATTTGGAAATATCACTACATTAGCATCAGTCTCAGATAACAGGAGGTACAATTGTCACACGTTTTCTACCTTTTTCAGGTTTTTGTGTGTCTAATTGAGGAGGAGGAGAATGGACCTTATCTCTTGTGACTAGTGGTGGCACAACTGAAACAATTGTTTTTGTTACCAGGTGGAAAGCTTTTCACATGCAAATTATCAATATCATTGCAACATAGTGTTTTTATT